GATACTCCCCAACAAACACATCTGTACACGCACTCGCATACTTCCACGAATCGTCCCCTCATCATGCATACAACAAGATACCCGACCCTCGGGACATTGCACACATCACGCAGAGACAAAGCAGCAATGGAGATGAAAGCAAGTTCCTCCATATACAAAAATTCTCAGTTGGCTGGCGCCCCTGGCACAGCCTCAAAATTCCCCAAGACCACCGACCACCATAGCCACAAGGCCCTGCCGCGATCGGCGTCCAATCTCCACCACCGCTCGGTCCCTCCAGCTGTCTTACCCCGAATCTACCGCTAAGCCCGCCCCGAGTCGTCACTCCGCCCGTCACTTGGGCTCGTCAAGCCTTTTCGTCACCACGGACCTCGCGCATAGCTCGCGCAGCATTGCAGCCGAGATCAAGGAGGGGGAGAGGAAGGGATTGCAAGAATTTATAGCGCAGGAGGTGGCGGGTTGTCAGCGCGAGGTGCGGGTAGCATGGGTTGTAGATGAGCAGGACACAAGAAGGGCCGGGGTTCCAGAAGGATCGGCGGGGTTGAGCTGGTTGACCCAGGTGATCGGGGTGTTCGTTCAAACAGTGCGCGCTTTCCGCCTTCACCGCATTGATCCGAGCATCCCAATCACCTAGCCAATCAACTCTCATCGAAGGAGGGGGGGGGTTCGGACTTTGCTCGAGGGAAGACGAAGAGGCATGCAAAGAGGAAGCGCGCGACAAGAAGGGAAGATGACGTTGGGATGCAAGCGGGGGAAAGGGTTTACGCGGCGCGCAAGAATTCGAAAACAGCCGCGCGCGCAAAAATTTAAAAGAAGAAAAAGAAATCCCAAAAGTCTTATCTATATTAATTCCTAACTGTTTCTTGGCGCGGCTGCTATCGACCGCACGGAAAATGGCCTTAGGGGCCGTTCTGAAAAGAAGGGAAAAGGGAGAGAAAAAAAATAGAAAGAAAGGAAAATACACCCCATTTTTCCCAATCGCTTAGGCTCCGTAGTTCGGGGCTTCCGTAGGATTTTCCCATAAGGGTACGGAAAACCGCGGAGTACGGTTCCTAGCTTATCACAAGATGGAGCGACTTATATCCCTACCCTACCCTAGAGTCTAAGCCATGCATGAACAGACACCGTCATGTACCTGATAGACCCCGCAGCCCGGTACTATAGTTGTATGTATGTGTGCCCAGAGGGTATACATGTATGAGCCCGTAGGCTGTGTATGTTCACAAGCCATGTTTTTGTGTATGCCCACAGGCTATGTATGCTCTGTGTAGCTATATAGCCGGATGTATGTGCCCGAAGGCCAGATATGTGCCAGATATGTGCAGTACTATCCGGAGGGAACTACATGTTCTTGAAGAGATGACAGGCCAAGCTGGACAAGAACCCCTCGAACGTCCCAAGCCAGGCTCGAACCTGTGATCTATGACATGTGACGGGAGACAACCATACTAGCAATAATAGCAAACCACACCTATGTGTGATATGCCAGACTGGCATGATCAACAGAACAACCACGACTAACAGCAACAAGCAACAAGCAACCCACGCAGCACCCTGGACAACCCTTGGGTGGTGCGCCATGCAGTTTCTGTAATAACTTGCCTGCATCAGCCCAAGGGGGTATGCAAGTTCTGTGCGTTATGTAAATGCCCTCTGGTGTCTTTGGACGAAGGTATGGAGTTTTGAACCCACACCCTCAGACCATAGGTGCCCTAACCACTGAGCCACAGACCAAAGGACAAAGAGGACAATGCTCAGTGGGCAGGACTCTGGTCCCAGAGCAAAGACGATTGGAATCTGAGAGATGCAGAAAATGGGCCATCTACATCTCTACGTAAAACACAAGATCTAGTGTAGTATCTGTTCTGATCAGTTTAATGTCTTATCCGTGGTCCATCGTCAGCATTTAGAGCGTGCTTGCACCACTCCTCTTGTTTTAGGCCCCCGCCTCGGAAGATGGAGTCTGGCAGTTAGAGCGTGCTTGCACCACTCCCCATCCGTCAGCGTTTTGAAAGCATCTGGACGTTGAAGTCGGCCGCATGCATTCCAATCCTTGACGGATGGCGAGTGGTGCAACTACCAGGTAGGCCCTTTGAGAAAATAAAACAGGAAACAGGAAAAAGAGAAAGCAAGAGGGAAGAAACAATCTCTTCCCACGTTCGGGAGCATGGTCGCGATACAGGTGTCAAAGAGGATTGGATAGAATATGGACGTGAACGAAAAATCGCGATTAAGTAAACAATTTAATGACTCGTATTCCTTTTGAGCATTAAATTGTTTATTTTCCTCCAAAAAAAAGAGAAAAAAAAGAAAAAAAAGAGAAAAATCGCGACTGCATCGACGCCCAAAACACATTCATATTCGGGCGCTTGGTCCATCGTCTTTGCTAGTGGGACCTCGCCGGCGAATTGCTTGCTGTCGGGTGTCCAGCAGCTGCGTTGAGGGGATAAAACAAAGTTGCCAAAAAAAGAACGGAAAAAGCAAACGATTTAGAAGGATCCAGTGGCCTAGCTCAGTTGGTAAGGCACGCAAGTGGCATTCAGGAGGCCTTGGGTTCAATCCCCATTGGCCTCATGCACCTTCCTGGGCAAGCTTGGCGCCCCCCACCTAGAGATATGCCGTTGGTCCCCCCGAGTGGCATTGAGCAGAGACTGCTGATGTTCATAAGGGGAGGCGACCGGAGGGGAGGCACAGTGACTGGCCCATCGAAGAAGCTCGGTCCTGATGCTACCGGCTGACCCCTGGCCGGTATCGCCCACCTGCTGTAGCAGGTATGGCACCTGCTGGTGCGTGCAGCTCCCGCATGTTCCCTCGTTGGAGGCTTGAGCACGGATGTGGCTGCTACGGGGTTCCCCGTAATACTATAATGACAATAAAAAAGGCCTGAAAGGCCGTCCTGTCCAGATTTGACAGGTAATTGAATTGGTTGGGCTTAAAAGAATTAGCCTTTAAAAAAAAAAAAAAAAAACGATTTAGAAGGGGAAAAACAAAAATAATTTTCGTCGTGAGAAGAAAAACCAATGATTCGTAGCTGTATCAGGTCGCAGTTGTGGCCAGAGTTGGTCGAAAGTGCTAGCGGGTGCGTCGGAGTTCCTTTCGACTGCGCTTGAGCACTGCCAATATATTTTCCTCCTCCTACACCCTTTTGCTTTCCTCCTCCCGCTTCTCCCTCTCCTTCCCCTCCTCCCTGCGCCTGGCTCGTGTGGGTCTGCCAAGGGACGAGGGCCGGACGGAAAGACGGAGAGGGCTCGGCCGAACGTTTCCCTCCTCGCTGTTTTGAACCTAATCCCTCCTCCTGGCCGTCCATTGAGGTCCTTGCTGTTTCTTTCTTCCCCCCAGCGGACGGGAGCTAGCGTTGTCGAAGGAATGCAGGGAAGGGACACACGGGGTAGCAGTAGTAACAGCTGCGGTGACACGGATCGTAGAAGAAGCACATGGCTTCGGAAAACGGGTTATTTTCGGCCAAGCAAATGGCGGCCTTCTTGATTGCGGTGCCTGCACTGCGCTGGAAGACCAGCCTTGTCTCCTGTGTAAAAGCAGCTCCGCTTCTGCGGGCGCAACGAGCCCGCATCTCCTCCTCTTCTTCTTTCTTCCTTTCTTCCTTCGCCCTCTTTTCTTCTTCTTCCTCTTGCCAGGCGTGCCAATCTTGATCTGCTTCGTATCCTCCTCCTCGCCCTCCTCTCCTGCTTCTCCTCCTCCACCTCCTTCTCCACTTCCTCCTACTTGGAACTCCCGCACATCTTTTGTTGTGGTTCTTCTTCTTCCTCAGCCACCATCCATCGGGCGCCGTCTTCGTCCTTCGTCTTCTTCTGCTTGCACTGCTCTTTCGACTTGCTGGTCCTCTGTAGAGGGAGCTGTGGAGGTGCTTGCAATCTTCCAGGCACGGCGATGTCGGAGATGGTGATGATGGAGACGAGATATTACCGCCTGCCTGAATGTGATCTCTTGGTCGGGGTGACTCCTTTAGGGTGTTTGCGATCTGCTCATCTTTGTCTGCACTATCCAGTGACACACGTGTGACGTGGCAGAAGTAAAGCCTTCCTCCGCGGAACCTCCTCCCTCCCTCCCTCTCTTTCTCGCCA